CCCCAAAACCCCAAAACCCCAAAACCCCTCAAGATCAAATAGAATTCAATATCAAGGAAATATTATAAACAATTTAAATTTGAGTAAAAGAGGCGAAATGAGCTGTCCATTTTTAGATCCTACAATGCTGGCAAGACTTCCTCCTGAAAAGAGAGAAGAAATGAAAGAGATGTACCATAAAATGAAGCAAGAACAAAATGACCATCTCAAGATTGATATCAAAGAAGATGAAATTGACAATATTAGCCCAGAGCAGATGATGATGGGAATGACTGGAGCAAGTACAAGTATGGGCTCATCACTTTGTCCCATGATGAGCACAGGCAGTAGTGGAGGAAGTCAAGCTTCTGAGGAATAAGAGCCATTAAATTTCCAAGACTAATTTGAGAATGATCCACAAGCCTTCATGGAGAGAATGGCCAAAATGCAAGATGCAGGTGGTTCATGCCCAATGATGTCGTCCAAATACTTTGACCCATTTAATGAAAAAATGGAGTTCGGGTGGAGTTGCAACTACAAATCAAGGTGGGCCTTTCTTTTGAACCACAAAGGAAGATTGACTACTAGGAAATATCTTCTTGGGAGAAAATTAATGGAGAGACTCCCATACCCATTGAAGCACACTTTGTTTCATCCAGATGATCTTAAGAAATTAAGAGATAAACCCTTTTCTGGTCTCTTCTTTCATTTTGACAAATATAAGGAAGAGGCTAACAAACTCTACAAAGAGGGTGAATACTTTGAGGCAATTGAATACTATGAGTAAATCCTAAGTGTTTTCAAATGGCTTGACTTCACAGATAAAGAAAAGAACGATGACTTCTTCAAAGCTCTTAAACTTGATCCTATTCTAGATAAGGATATTAAGGTCTCTGAAAAAGATCTAGGAGATGATGAGTGCGAAATTGAAATGAGAAAGAATCTGGTTGTAACTCTCCTAATGAGTATTGGGTATTGCTATTTAAAGCTATTCTTCTTTGATGAAGCTTTGAAATGCTTTAATTATTCTCTTGAAATCGCACCAGAGGCAACTGATGTATATTTAAGAAGGTCCTAATGTTTTATGTACAACAAGGAATCTGATATGCAAGATTTGAAATAAGCTGTAAATGATGCAAACAAAGCCCTAGAAAAAAGGCCAAAAGATAAATTCTACAATAATCACAAAAAAGACCTGGAGAATGTAGTGCAAAACTATGTGACAAATAAAGTAATGTTCATTAAGGAAATGATAGGAAAGGCAGAAGCTCAATTAGCATTAAGATAAAAGTTAAAATTGAAAAGATAGAGATATTTGGAAGAAACTAAGGGAGTTGCACAAGATCAGGAAAAATAAAATAGTGATGACGAGTAAGAAGATTTAACATACCCTGAGGAGTGTAGAGTTTTAGATATAATGAAGGATAAGTATTATGATGCAGTTTAATTCTTCAATGATACTGAAGATAAGAAGTAGCTTTAGCTTGCAGTTAAGGAATACCAGAGATTCTGCTACCTCTACGATAAAATGAGTAGATTCCTAGTATTTGATCCAACTGAAATAGAAGAAGATATTTATCAGAGACTTGGGGAAAGTGAGAAGACAGCCCTTTCAAATCCAAAGATTGTCAAAGAAATAAATATCATCAGAAGGAGAAAAGCTGCTAAGATCCTTGAAGACGAGGACGTTAATATCCTCAATTTCTAGATGTTTTAGTACGCTTTGAAACTATTCTAAAAGGAAAAAAAGAAGAAGCTAAAGGAAGAAGAGGAGAAGAAACAAAGAGAGGAAGAGCTTCTCAACGGAGGCAAGAAATAAACAGCTCAAGGAAGTATGGGTAAACTTATATTGATAAATTTCCTATTCTTCATGGTGGTTGCTAGTGGAATAATGTTCGCAAGTGGAACGTCTTTGTTTGATTTACTTGGAGTTACATACTTTGCAGCGAAGAAAAAAGATGAGGGCTTCTGATGATTCTATAATATCTAATTCCTGAGGTTAAAAATTAATTCACTCATCAGATTTTATATTTTATTTCTTAATTCAAAATTAAAGAAATATTTTGCTTTAAATCTATTCGGGGTTTTGGGGTTTTGGGGTTTTGGGGTTTTGGGG